AGGCGGCCGCTTTCGGTCTGGGTCTGGTTCCCACGCGGAGATTGCTTGTGCCCGTTCCTCCCGCTCGGCCCTTCAACCAAGCATTCATGGATGTTCGTGGAACGTCTGCTTAGAAAGACCACAGCTATAACACCCCTCTCTTTCTTTCCACGTACAGACGCAGGTTCAGTAAACATCTAGGACAAAGATGAGGAAGCGACACCCGCCCCCCGGAGCATTTCCCACTCCCATTTCCCAGTGGTGCACCCGTGTCCAGGCTCCCCTGACAATCTTTCTTCCCTTCCTGGCATTCAGCTGCGCTGGAGCAGAGACGGAACCGGGCTAAAGGATTTGCCACGTTTTCTGTGGGAAAGGCCTTCAGTGTTCCATCCGGCTCTCAGAACTCCTTGCTGGGCCCCCATTTTCCAGGGCTTTGCTCTGGAGTCTGAAACGTCCTCCCCCCAGCTGAAATCCCACAGGGGCTGGCTGCCTGGGGGGAGCCTCAGAGTCTCCAAGCTTCCCCTGTCCTGGCTCCTGTCTCTCTCGGGAGATGGATGGCCCGTAGCCCCCTCCCCACCACACCTTGACGGTGTTTCCTCTTCCTTCCTCCCCTCCAGACTGAGACGGCGGTGACTACCCCAGGTGTAGGACCGCCGGGCCAGCAACTCGTGTTAAGGACTGTACGACAAAAACGAACCAAACAAATTGCATTGTTCTATAGAATGTGTGTGTGTGTTCTTAGCTTCCAAATAATACATTGCTGAAAAATGCATTTTTACAGTGCAACAGTACAAAATACTTTCCAGATCTACGTTTGGGTGCTTTTTATTGTTTAATAGCAAGGGCAGTGGCAAAACAAAAGCTCTTCCAGTTGGGAATACGTGAAATCCAGCCCAGGCCACTTGGGGAAAAGTAGGCTGGGAAACTCATCCTGGTTCTGTTCCAAATGGAGATGTGACTTCCTTCCTCCCCCTCTTCCTTCTCTGGCAGAGATGGTGGCCTTGGCAAAGAGCTCCCCTTCTGTCTCTTCACCTGTTAAATGGGAACCATGATGGCTTCCTTACAAATATAGAACTTGATAAACTTTGTAGATTAAAAATAAATAGAGTGGAAACTAATATAAATTATAATTGGCGGTAGTCATTAGTGCTTTCACAACTGGCGTGCCAGTTCAATTTGTCTAACTTGGAGGAGGCATCTGGAACTGAGTGTTATAATGAGTGAATCATTTCACCAGCAAATCTCTTCTGTTACCACTTGATGATGTGTGAATGAACCATCACAGTCGGCAATGAATCTCTACTTGCTTTTTCAATGGATGGCTACACATGTGGCCAAGGAGCAAACATCTGGACTTCATGGAAGGCAGATTTATTGCTGAGGCTTTGCTGTGGAGTAAACTGAGCCTCCATCTTCAGAGGCAATAAACCTGAACTTTTGAGGGGCTGTATCAAGGGAGGGCCAGTAGTGTCCCAGATGTTTAGGGAAACCCACGTTCCATGGGTTTTCATGGTAACACTGAAGCAAAAAATAGTCTCAGCACAGTTCTTCTTAACTTAATGGGAATGACAGATTGCAAACAGGTGAAGGAGCTCCTGTTTTGTTCCTCTGTACCAATGAAGAATTGGGGGGGGGGGGGCTGGAGAGAGAGAGAACTGCCCTTTGAAGAATCCCAAGTTCTGCAAAAAAACAAGAGGTGCTTCCTGAGAGCATCCAGGGCTGATGTTTTACAAACCAGCGATCCTATCCCTGTTAACAGCTATCTTGTCCCAGATTTTAACAGGTTTTAACAGGCTTATGATCAAGAAAACCTTGCACAGGTAGAGCAGGCCAGTGCAGGGGGGGAGGCACCCCTTTTTACATGTGACACATGGTTGTGACCACCATCTTGACCTTTTTTGGCCCCCTCCTTGCAGACACCGCTGAGGCCAGCCAAGGTGGAATGAGGGGTGGGTGGGGAGAGTCAC